AGGCATACCTGCCCTTCATCTATCCATTCTTATATGTGCTCCTACTATAGAAGCTCTGGAAATTTAGAGTTAGGACAGCAGTATAAACAGAGGTCTTTTGATGTGGACAGTGGCTTATGCATATATTTGCAAACGTGTAAAAAACAAAACTCTGTTTTTAACACAAACGGTTAGACAGGGCCACTTTGGTTGTTTTGCAGGCAGGCTGGCTGCTAAGTGTGCTGGGAAATCCTGTGTTTGTGATGTACTTTTCTTCTATCTCTACTTTTTTTTTGCTTTTCCCTTTTTGGTATTTAATTAGTTTTTTCTTTAATTATAAGTTACTGTTTGTAGCACTAGCAACGCTAAAAGAGAATATTTAAATATACTTTTCATCTCAATTATGATAATGTAAGGTCATACTTGACACCAGAGTTGAAAATTGTATATTTATAGAACGGAATAGCCAAGATAGCACTGTGATGCAAAATAATAAAGTTAAGATGTAAGCAAATGACCTTACAAATAGAGTGATTTTGAACATTTTGAGGGTGCAGGGTAGAAACAGAATTATATTAGGAGTAGACTTGCGTTAACACCTTTACAAGTTAGAAAATACCATTAGGTACCCAAACATACCCTGTAATCCTCATATAACTATTTATCAAAATGCTTTATGGTTTGGAAAGTATAGGGGCAGTTTAGAGTCTGTGTCTGTTTTTTATTGAGGTCTGCCAGAGAAAGGAAGGGAAGAAATATTTCCTACACGGGGGAGATCTTTAAACTCGTCTCGCCTCTACCATAGATATACTTGTTGTTGCTTAATAAATGTGATTTGAATTTACAGAAATATGGGAAAAGTGATTTTCACAAATTCAAGAAGTGACAGCATACTACTTTGAAAATGTTTTCTATTCCTTTGACCAGAAGATGTAACATTTACTCCACATACCTAAAGAAAATGTAGAAGAATAGACACTGGGATTGATTTACTAAAACTGGAGTGTGCAAAATCTGTTGCAGCTGTGCAATCAGCTTTTACCTTCAGCTTGTTCAAATAATCTTTGACCAGAAAACCTGGAAGCAGATTGGTTTCTGTGCAGAACTGCACCAGATTTTGCACTCTCCAGTGTTGTAAATTAACTCCACTGTGTTATATGGCATATACTCACTTCTACATTACACATTGTATTTACAGCAGCACTGTGTAAGATAGTAAATAAGCTTGATTGTGCAAGGGACATCCCAAAAAATCATCTTTGCCAAGTGCTGCCCTATCTGTGGCCATACCCCCACTGCAAAGGCATATTTTTTTAGGTGCCTGGAGTTTAAAGCAACAGAGTTACTGGCTGGATCGCCAAGTAATAAACTACACTATATTGCCAAAAGTATTGGGCCACCTGCCTTTCACGCACCTGAACTTTAATGAAATCCCAGTCTTAGTCCATAGGGTTCAGTATTGAGTTGGCCCACCCTTTGCTGCTATAACTGCTTCAACTCTTCTAGGAAGGCTGTCCACAAGGTATAGGAGTGTGTCTATGGCAGCAATGGGCAAACTACGGGCCGCGGGCCGTATACGGCCCGGAGGACCTTTTAATTCGGCCCGCGGAGCTAGGCTCCCGCTAGGCTCCTCTCACAGTCTGCCCTGAAGACCGGTGTAGCATGAAAATCTGTCTCCTATGAGGATCTGTCCCCCTCGACGTATCTGCGCATGTGCCGGAGATCGCCGATCGGCTGCTAATGCCTGAAACTGGCACATTGGCAGATACGTCGAGAGGGACAGATCCTCATAGGAGACAGATTTTCATGCTACACCGGAACGGCGCGGGAACACGGCAAGAGGAACGCGCGGAGCAAAGGTAAGTGAATTGACACAGGGGGGACTTGGGGACTTAATATGGGGGATGAATTACTATGGGGGATGAATTACTATATGGGGAATGAATTACTATGGGGGATGAATTACTATATGGGGGATGAATTACTATAGGGGGGATGATTTACTATAGGGGGATGAATTACTATATGGGGGATGAATTACTATATGGGGGATGAATTACTATATGGGGGATGAATTACTATATGGGGGATGAATTACTATGGGGGATGAATTACTATATGGGGGATGAATTACTATATGGGGGATTAATTACTATGCTTACTATGGGGGAATATTACTATACTTACTATGGATGACACATACACATCATTCATCTACTCTTGGTCTGGCCCCCGGGTCCAATATATGAACCCATTGCGGCCCTCAAGTCAAAAAGTTTGCCCACCCCTGGTCTATGGGAACGTTTGACCATTCTTCCTTCACTGATGTCAGACGAGAAGGCCTGGCTTGCAGTCTCCATTCTAATTTATTTCAAAGGTGTTCCATCAGGTTGAGATCAAGACTCTGTGCAGGTCCGTCAAGTTCCTCCACCCCAAACTCGCTCATCCATGTCTTTATAGACCTTTCTTTGTGCACTGTCATGTTAGAACAAGAAGGGGCCATCCCCCAACTGTTCCCATAAAAATGGGAGCATGAAAACTGTCCAAAATGTCTTGGTATGCTGACACCTTAAAAGTTCCCTTCACTGGAACTAAGGGACCAAGCCCAACCCCCAAAAATAACCCACACCATAATCCCCCGTCCACCAAACGTTACACTTGGCACAATGCAGTCAGGCAAATACTGTTCTCCTGGCACACGCCAAAACCAGACACATCCATCGGATTGCCAGACAGAGAAGCGCGATTCGTCACTCCAGAAAACACGTCTCCACTGCTCTAGAGTCCAGTGGCAGCATGCTTTACACCACTGCATCCAACACTTTGCATTGCACTTGGTGATGGAAGGCTTGGATGCAGCTGCTTGGCCATGGAAACCCATTCCATGAAGCTCTCTACGCACTGTTGTTGTGCTAATCTGAAGGCCACACAAAGTTTGGAGATCTTTAGCTATTGACTCTGAAGACAGTTGGTGACTTCTGTGCACTTCAGCATGAGCTGACCCCGCTCTGTCATTTTCTGTGGCCTACCACTTTGTGGCGCAGTTGCTGTTGTTCCCAGTTGCTTCCACTTTGTTATGATACCACTAACAGTTGACCATGGAATATTTAGTAACAAGGAAATTTCACGGATGGATTTATTGCACAGGTGACAACCTATCACGGTGCCACGCTTGAATTCACTGAGCTCCTGAGAGCAACCCATTCTTTCACAAATGTTTGTAGAAGTAGTCCTAGGGGCTTGATTTTATACACCTGTGGCCATGGAGGTGATTGGAACACCTGAATCCAATGATTTGGAGGGGTGTCCCAATGCTTTTGGCAATATAGTGTATGTTATAGGGGGACTCTGAAAGACAGACTGCTGTGTTAATTCTAGTGAGACTGTATCATATATGCCATTTTTTTATTTTGACCATAATTACACTTTAACCATCCCTTATTAACTGTATATTCCACTTTGTTATATATTTCATCGTTTCTTCTTTTTTTAATTTTTAAACAATTTATATTTAAACGTTTCTTTATCATTTCAATTAGTTTGGCTTGTATGATTTTGTAGTGCTGCATTAAAAAAATTAACAAATGATTAAACTAGAAAAAAATTTTTGTTTTGTCTTTAAAAGAAAAAAAAATGCACGTATTAATTTCATAATATATCATAACTAATCTTAATCAATAGGTCTGTAGCCTACACAGATGTGATGTTTTTCTTAGGAGGAATTTATAGCATGCTAAAAGGAGCTTGACTTTGTTTTTTCATAGAGTTCCACTTTACTTGATATAACTATTAATATGATATACAAATAATAGGTTACCAGTGATTTGGGATCAACCCTTTGTATGTCGTCTTGGTCTTTTCCATTTACAACAGCTTTAGATGGTGGAAGAGGTGGTGTGATCTCTATGCTGGTGACAATTGGGTTTTCCTTATTATGCTCTGTTTTACCTAGAATCAATATATCAAGTTAGCCCACAACCAGACTGTGAAATGGGACAAATGCAGTAATGAAAGACATGAACAGTATAAATATAGATCTATTAATATAGGGTTGACTCTCAAAACTCCATATTTAATATCGCATACAGGTGCCTAGTTTGCCTTTAATATCATTCATTCATTCAGATATTCAATAACTGTACAACAGCACAACTACAACAAACCTTTAGCTGCTTGCTCTTTGTGCACATTTGTAGGCAAAGATGAATTTGTTCCATCTACCACATCACCGTGATTTCTATCACCAGACAACATCTGAAAGAAAAACAGAAAGGCAAACCAGAGGTAAAAATCATGATGCAAATCTGTTACCAGTTCAAACAAATCTGGTGCTTTTACATGACCATTGTGTGAGAAAAATAACAAAACGTAACAGTGCACTTGAAGGCAGCCATAGACCTGAAGTGTTGTCTGATCTATCTAATATATGGAATATTAATCACCAGTCCTTATGTTTGCGAGTAGACATTGTCGATGGACAATATCAGGATAACATGTCGCAATTGGCCACACTGGATTTAAAACTTCTATTGTTCTTGTGGGAAAAGATCAATTGCCAGGGCTGGTTGCCTGCAGTTCTCCCTTCCTTTGCCAATGACCTAAAGATCCATATTTGGGTGAGGAATGCTTCTGTTACCAGTTTGTAAAATAATCATCTATCAACATCCAGATCATGTTCACCAGCAGCTAATGTCTAAAGCTAGCTTAAGTCAGGCAAAATGTAGACTGGTCTATTAAGAAATTTCTTAATATCTCCCCAACACGATGGCAGTGCTAAGCCAATGTCATAGTCCACAGCCAAGTACGTGTGTGTATGTGTGTCTGCTTGTGTGTTAAGTGCTGAGTAGTGAAACAATTATTTGATGACTGTATCACTGTATAAGCAAGATGAAAAATACAAAGCATGCAGTATTTGACACAGCACAAAAATTATAAAAAGTCTTAAAACAGCAGAAGAGGTAATGTTCCACGCTTGGCATACCAACCAGAAGTTCATTTTATTTTTATAAAACATATTGAGTCTAATTAGTTGTTGGTGGCAACACAAACTCTCTTGCTGTTTTTTCAGTTTTATAAGATATCCTCTTTGGCCTTACTTCTTTGTTCTTGACAGAATTCTGTACATTCGGCCTTTTCAAACTAAGTTCAATGGAAGATGCATCTGGCTTCACCGCTGCTGCTGGTGCATCCACTCTGGCAACACCTTCAAACATCTGCGATCTGGTCAGTGATGGAGAAAACATTTGGACTGTATTTGATCCCATTTCCTTGGCTTCCTCTGTGCCATTCATTGCGTCTCCATTCATACTGACTTTTCCATCTACCTACAGAAACCAAGTAAGGTGTTTAGAAAAAAAAAAAAAAAAAGAGGAAATATAGTCACTGCTATAGAACTCGTTACTGGGACATAATCTATCAGAAGTCAACAAAGAGTTCTATTCCAATATAAAGCCCAAAACTGCAAACACTGCAATAGTTCACGTCAGAGCATTTCAAACTAATTTCATCTCTAATTCCAATGGCTGTGTGTCTGCTCTCTTCTCATAAAGTGCTGCTGGGAAATACTTTGTTTATATTCTCATAGAACCTCTCAATTTCTACCAGTAAGAGCCTAGCGGCATTTCAAGGAGTGAAACTCTGTTTGAACACCTTGTAACCTGGCCTAAAGTACAACATACTGTACTCGCATGTTTTACATTTTACTGATCTGTAAGTTAAAAGCTCTAGTGCAGGGGTCTCCAAACTTTTCAAAGGACCAGTTTACTGTCTTCAAACTTTATGAGGGCAGGATTATGGGCAGTGAGCACAGAAAACGTCTTGGGCCCAGCATCAGTAAGAATAAACATGATCTCAGGGTTGATTGCCCGTAGGAGTAGCGCCCTATCACTTGTATTAGTGGGAGGAATAGTGCGCCATCATTGGTTTCAGCAGAAGACATAGTGCCCCATTTTTGGTGTCAGTGGGAGGAATAGTGGTCCAACATCCATGTTAGTAGCAGGAATAATGGTGTCAGTAGGAGGAATAGTGCCTCATATCAATGGCGGAAAAGTGACCCAAGGGCCAGATAAAGGCTGCCAAAGGGTCGCATCCGGTTTGGAGGCCACTGTTCTAGTGAATGGAAAAACAGCACTTCAGATAATAAGCATATAATGCAGGGTAATAAATATATTGCATGCTTGTAGTGAATGAAGCCCTAAATAATTAAAATGAAAAAAGCCAAGATGTGAGTTGTGACGAGTAATCTACAATTACCCAAAGATAAGAGTGGGACTAGAGATAGCATAGTAGAAAAAGACTCGAAAATGCCTGAGCACAACCCCCCCCCCCCCAAAAAAAAAGTTTGAGATCATATACCTAGAAACACTGAATTCTGCAAGCTGTGCCTTAAAAAATGCAGGCAGAGGGCAAAGGCAGTATTGTTGAGTGTCTCTTCTGATCTTTGCCACATTACTTACTTACCAAGCCTTGTCCTGCACTGTTTCTCAGTGTGAAGGTGACCACCTTGGTAGCAGCAGGGTTTTGCTTTTTCAGGCAAGGCCCTCCAGCAAGAACAGTGTGCACTACAGTAGTGACATCCCTAAATCTCATTCCAAATCTTAGGAGACTAGCAGTCAGAGGCAGCGGTGCCTTAGATTCACACATCAGATATACAGCTGTGAAACTGTAAGGACCAGCAACTAGGCACCCTCACATATCACGAAGTGCACTGCTATTTTTAGGATACTGTTTCAGGGTACTGATTAGGCACAATGTTCTAAATGCTTTCTATATAACAGAAAATCTTCACTTTTTTAGTTCAGTTCTACTTTAAAAAGGGTTACTATACCCAGGACCCTGCATGCACTATATCCGGTCTCCCACAGTACACAGAACATGGAAATGCTATTATATTAGTAAATATAAACTGCTAAATACCTTTTCTCATTAACAGTATATAGCAGTCTTGTGACTTCTATCAGTGTCCGGCTGAGCACTGGTTAAGCTTGTAGGAGGAGTTTTCATTTTGCGCTGACTGTCCTATGAAGCTGCATAGCCCCTGCCCTCTGTCTGGATAGTGCCGATTGGCCTTATGCTGATCTCATGCACCGTCCCAAAGCAAAAAAAATTCTCTAGCAATACACACCAATCTGAGCATGTGCAGAATGACTCCTAGAAGTGCAATTGCTACATTTTAAATAAATAAAGACCAACTCCTGCCAAAAATGAGGGGAATGGTTGCAATTGTTAAGAAAAAATATCCAACATAATGCTCCATCCATCAGGAGCTCTAATCCTTACCAATTTATTGAAAAAAAAAAGTGGTTTGTTGTAGTCTGTGTGGAACTGAAAAGATTTCCCATGACTTACTCTCCACATGAGAAGTCCCAGGAAATCTGTCTAATGGAAATACAAAAAAGTGTTGCTTGGAGTTGGGCTTTCAGCATATACACTCCTCACTATACAAAAGAGCCATTAGTGGCTCCTCACTGTAAATGATTGTCATTTATATGTTCAATTCAAGTCATGTTTTTCTTACCTTGAATGTTTTGAGAACATGTTGTGTATTTCTGGGCTGGGAATAAGGCTTGGGTGTTAACATAGGCACTGCCTTTGAGACCACATTCTTTGTCGGTGATGTGGGACCCAGGGGTGCTTTAAAGTCTGATTCAGAAGTGGGAGATATAGTTGCTTCTACTGTAGAAGTAAATTTTGGAGAAGGCAAAGACTGCTGTCTCAGATACTTCAATGGGTTGGGGTCCTCTGATGAAGAGAGTAAGCCAGGCTCTACTGAATGGCTTCTCTCCAGAATTTTTGGCATCACTAAACTTTCAAGAACAGCTTCACTTATGGTAAACCTCTCAATGTATTTCTGCAGTATTTTTTCAGCTTCCTCTTTTGTCCTGGCATTCTTGTAAGCTTCATGCAGATCTTTCTCTCTTTGTTCTCTGTGACAAAGATTAAAAGAAAATGTAAGACCATGTTAAGTTGTCTTTTTGACTACACTAAGCAGCTATTGCAACTGAAAAACCTACTTTTCCTCTACTATTTCTTTGTAAGTTTTTATGCTTTTCCTTCTTTCATTTAAGTCAGTGTCCCCACTAAGTAACCTCTCCATCTTTTTTCTTTCTTCTTCTTTCTTTATCAAGTCTTGTGATGCACTTCTCCTACGTGTTTTCCACCGGGCCAGGTCCTACACAGTGGAGAAAGGACAGTTTTAATACCACAAAAAACGCACTCATACCTTTTTATCACAAGCAGAAAAGTCAGCATGGTGGACTAAAATATGCAAACTATAAAATATAAACAAAAATGACCGACTGCGATCATAAGCCTAAGTCTCAAAAATTCAGTGCAGAGGATAGTGGAAGTGCAAATTTCAGCAATCAATCAGCTGTATGCTTAATAATGCCAGAATATAGTAAAAATTAATTCCCATTAGCTACTATGGCTTTGCTTATTGCCCTGTGAAATATGCCTGCTTCATTTGGGTTTACCCTGACCTCATCTGCCTATATATTGCCTGCATGATTTGTGTTGTATGTATGTTGTTTTTAGTACATGTATGTTCTGAGACACATTAAAAAGTATTACTAATTCCAGGGCCCTGCATTCTCTCTATCTGATCTCCCACCATACACAAAAAATGGAAATGCAATTATTTTAGTAAATATAGACTGCTAAATACCTTTCCTCATCAGCAGTTAGAGCAATCTTGTGACTTCTGTCATTGTTAAGCAGAGCACTAATTAAAACTTGTAGGAGGAGTTTTCATTCTGCTCTGGGAGGATGCAGAACTCCTGACTTCTGTCTGGACAGTGCTGATTGGCCCTGTGCTGATCACATGCACTCTCCCAAGAAAAAAAAACACCTCACTAGCAATACACACCAAACTGAGCAGGTGCAGAGTGTCTCTAAAAATTGTAATGCCACACGGTTTGTTCTGCTATTTTTATCTATGTCAGCCTACTGACTTCTGAAGGAATCATCTGACACTCAAGCAATACAGCAACGAAGAGTGAGGATAAAGAAACTTCAAAGGCTTTTAACAGGGAAGATATGTTGTGTTTAATACCAAGGCATATGTTTGTCCAGTTTAACACACAATTACCAACTGACTTTTTAATAAAATACCTGTTTCACATTTTTTTCAACAATGCCATTGATCACCAGCAACCTCTGTGCAACAACTTCCTGTCTACATGCATGCACTCCAGAGATGGCTACATGGCATTTCTCATGTGTGCTTAAATTGCCACTTGCAGGCTCCTTCAGAAGCCAATGTGATAGAGCAACAACACAGGAGACAGGAACAAAGCACTGGCACTCTAAAACAGGAAGGGCCTGAACAAGGACCTTCATACAGACAGGTATTATGTTAAGAAAAGTTTAAAAGAACATTAATATTTGACCAGGATTATTTTTTAAACAAGTGCCACTTTAAATAAAAAGTGCACATTTATTCTAGAATGAAATGACACTTTTTTTTCCTATTAGAAAGCATAGTAAAATTATTTACAAATTAACTAAAGGCTTTCTTCAGAAAATGCATCACTACGAAAACAAAATAAGGTATAAACTAACGACAAAAAGGTTAAAGATGATACTAATTACATAGTTACATATTTAGTCTTGCTGAAAAAAGACAAAAGTCCATCCAGTTCAACCATATACATAAATAAATAAGTTATAATCCTATACCCACAGTTGATCTAGAGGAAGGCAAAAAACCCAGCAACGCATGATCCAATTTGCTCCTACAGCGGAAAAAAATTCCTTCCTGATCCCCCGAGAGGCAATTGGATATTCCCTGGATCAACTTTACCTATAAATAGTAACCAGTTATATTCTGTGTATCCAAGAAAAAATCCACGCCTTTTTTAAAGCAATCCACTGAGCAGGCCAGAACTGACTCTTGAAGGAGTCTATTCCTCATTTTCACAGCTCTTACTGGGAAGAAACCTTTCCATGAATGGAGATTAAATTTCTTTTCCTCAAGATGTAAAGAGTGCCCCCTTGCCCTCACTGATGACCATATACCTCCTTAATTCAGTTCCTCTAATCTTTCCTCATAGCTCAGCTCTTCCATGCCTCTTATCAGTTTGGTTGCCCTTCTCTGCACTTTCTACAGTTCCCCAATGTTCTTTTTCTGAATTGGTGCCCAAAATGTTACTGCATATTCCAGATGAGGTCTTACTAATGATTTGTACCGGGGTAATATGATATCTCTCTCTCTGGAGTCTATACCTCTTTTAATACAAGAGAGGATTTTGCTCGCTTTAGAAACCGCAGCTTGGCATTGCATGCCATTATTAAGCTTGTGATCTACCAGAACTCCCAGATCCTTCTCCACCATTGATTCCCCCAGTTGTACTCCCCCTAGTATGTATGATGCATGCATATTCTTAGCCCCCAAGTGCATCACTTTACATTTATCAACATTAAATCTCATTTGCCACATAGTTGCCCAATTAAACAGTGCATTGAGGTCGGCTTGTAAGTTGAAGACATCCTGTAAGGACATTATTCCACTGCACAGTTTGGTGTCATCTGCAAAGACTGAAATGGGATTTTTAATCCCAGACCCTATATCGTTTATAAATATATTAAAAAGTAAGGGTCCCAACACTGAACCTTGGGGTACACCACTGATGGCCCTAGACCATTCAGAGTATGAATCATTAACCACTACTCTCTGAATACGATCTTTTAGCCAGTTTTCTATCCATTTACATGCAGATTTTTCCAAGCCTGTAGCCTTACACATTAGCCTTGTGTGGGGAACTGTGTCAAATGCTTTTGCAACATTCAAGTATACCAAGTCCACCGCCACCCCTCTGTCCAAGGTTTTGCTCACCTCCTCATAAAAAGAAATCTGATTTGTTTGAAAACTTCTGAATTTCATGAATCCATGCTGTCTGTTGCTTAACATTTTTTTCCAGCAAGAACTCATCTACATGGTCTTTTATTAAACTCTCCAGTATATTGCAAACTATAGAAGTTAAACTAACAGGTCTATAATTACTTGGCAAAGATTTTGACCCCTTTTTAAATATAGGCACCACATTGGCCTTATGCCAATCTAGTGGTACGGTGCCAGTCATTAAAGAGTCCCTAAAAATTAGAAACAATGATTTTGAAATGACAGAGCTCAATTCTTTAAGGACCAATGTGTGTATTCCATCTGGTCCAGGTGCTTTATTCACCTTTATTCTGTCTAAATATTTTTAGATCATCTCAGTTGTGAGCCAATGTGGATCATCTAGAGCTGTGTCAATACCAATGCCCATTATGGACAAGAGCTCCTTTTGTAGGAGTTGAAGAAGGTATTTAATAAATTTGCCTTCTCTTTGTCCCCAGTCACCCATTCTAGATTATTTTGTAAAGGGCCTACATGCTTGGACTGGATCTTTTTACTATTAATATATTTGAATAATAATTAAAAATAAAAACAAAACACAAACAAAAGTCAGCCACAAAATAATAGCTAAGGAGAGAAGAGGAGATAGGAGTTAATTGGGGCTTATTGGGATTAACTATGGGTTGCTAAGGAGTTAAATAGCAACACAGTTTGGTTATTTTTACTTGCAAAGCTGTTTTAAACTGAAACCATATGCAGATCAAACATCTTTCCTTTGATCTGGTATTAATATACCAGAGAAGTTACAATGACGCAATAACAACATTGCTTCATCATAACTCTTCTTAACACTGAAGAGGGTGTTCTGCTAATATCTGGTGCTGGAGAGCTAAGAGAGAGAAGGAGGGGTTGGGCACACCGATTCATTTTTTTGGGTGTGTGTAGCATGTCTAATCCAAAGCTGGACAAAAAGCACGGAACAAAGCATTGTGTGTAAGAGAGAAGAAAATATGCATTTCATGGGTGACATTTGGTATCAAGTAGTGAGCCGTGAGTGCAGATCTCACTGGTAGTACAGATCCTGTGAACTGAGGCATGTGTGTATGGAGTGGAGTGCAAATTTTACTGATGGGAGTGATTTGTGTGTACTGACGGGGAGGGGGGGGGGTCACCTCAATGGTCCCTCGTCCTGTACTTTCCCTTGCTATACACACACACACCAACACTTTCCTTCCAAGATATTACACTTTTTGGCCATTAGCTGGAACCATGGAACTACCTACATCCTGCCAGGTATCATCCTCCTCCTTGAGCAGGTCATTGACAAACTGCAAGTGTTCATGGTGAGCTCTGCTGTGGGGCAGCATACTTCCCTCATCTTCATATCTCATGTCACACATGCTCACACTCCTGTAGAATACAAAAAAATACATCAGGGTTATTATCATTTTGATCAAAAGTAATCTGGAAAATGACCTCAAGATGGCACTCCATACACTCATTTAGTAGAATACCATAAAGCTACAATTCCATATTTTCCCGGCTGGAGGAGACATTTTGCAAAGAATGCATTTTTATCAGAAGAGCTCATAAATACATGCATGTGTTTTTCTCATGTTACATATATTATTATTCACAAAAGACCTGTAACTCAGGTTTTATTTCATTATACATGTACATATACAGGTGCATCTCAATAAATTATAAAATCATCAAAAAGTTAATTTATTTCAGTAATTCAATTCAAAAAGTGAAACATATATAGATTTATTACACACATAGATATATTTCAAGCATTTCTTTCTTTTAATTTTGATGATTACGGCTTACAGCTAGTGAAAACCCAAAATTCAGTATCTCAGAAAATTAGAATACTGTGAAAAAGTTCAATATCATAAACTCATGGTGTCACACTCTAATCAGCTAATTAACTCAAAACACCTGTAAAGGTTTCCTGAGCCTTTAATGGTTTCTCAGTCTGGTTTAGTAGGTTACGCAATCACGGGGAGGACTGCTGACTTGACAGTTGTCCGCAAGACAGTCATTGACACCCTCCACAAGGAGGGTAAGTCACAAAAGGTCATTGCTAAAGAAGCTCGCTGTTCAGAGTGCTGTATCCAAGCATATTAATGGAAAGTTGAGTGGAATGAAAGTGTGGAAGAAAAAGGTGCACAAGCAACAGGGATAACTGCAGCCTTCAGAGCACTTCATGCTCTGCTGACCAGCTTTATGGAGAAGCTGATTTCATTTTTCCAGCAGGACTTGACACCTGCCCACACTGCCAAAAGTACCAATACCTAGTTTAATGATCCTGGTATCACTGTGCTTTATTGGCTAGCAAACTTGCCTGACCTAAACGCCATACAGAATTTGTGGGGTATTGTCAAGAGGAAGATGAGAGAAACCAGACCCAACAATGCAGATGAGCTGAAGGCCTCTATGACAGCAAGCTGGGCTTCCATAACACCTAAGCAGTGCCACAGGCTGATTGCCTCCATGCCACGCCACATTGCGGCAGTAATTCATGCAAAAGGAGCCCTGACCAAGTATTTAGTGCATACTATACTATATACAGACATTTTCAGTAAGCCAACATTTCTGTATTAAAAATCCTCTTTTTATTGGTCGTATGTAATATTCAAATTTTTTGAGATACTGAAGTTTGGGTTTTCACTAGCTGTAAGCCACAATCATCAAAATCCAAAGAAAGAAATTCTTGAAATACATCGCTCTGTGTGTAAATGAATCTATATAATATACAAGTATCACTTTTTAAATAGAATTACTGAAATAAACTTTTTGATGATATTCAAATTTATTGAGATGCACCTGTACAGGGGCTAAAATGTTCACATGGGGATAGATAGATAGATAGATAGAATTATTTCTATGCCATAGCCATTTACAGTAGCGTCATGTACTAACAAATGCATATGATATTAATTAAAGAAACTGTAAACAGAGAAAGAGCAATCATGCCAAATACAGAACTCCTGCAGTAACTTAGCTGCTCCTTCAAGATTGTACTAATTAAATAACTGCAGACATGGCAAAGGCTTCAGGTTAAAATCTCTACCGAAAAGTAACAAGGAGTAATTTGGCTTTTCCCTGCCCCAGCATTCAGAGAGACACATCCCTACATAAATATCCTTCCGCTGGCACAATTTCACATTGCATTAAACAATCACACATGCTTATTCTTGCAGACAAGACTGACAGATTCTGCCACTGTAGGCAGCATCAGGTAAGTAGAATGAGGTCATGCACAGGGGTGGACTGACCATTTGGAAACTCGGGCACTGCCCGAGGGCCCGGGGTCAGTAGGGGGCCCCATGAGATGCCCCTGGTACCTTTTTCATAGGCTTTTTTGAGTTTGGGCAAGGACACAGGGGCCCCATGATCCCCTATTGCCCGGGGGCCCCATGAGTTGTCAGTCCGCCCCTGGTCATGCATCATAATATTTGACTTTGTAAGGGTAACAGATACATACAGTTAATTCGGAGCATTCACAAAATTGTTAAAATATGCCTTTCTCCCCTTACAAAAGCATTTAATGTTTGTTTTTTAAAGAGGATAATAAAAAAAAAAAAAAAGTATGACTGCACTTTATCCAGGGTCACAAGGTGTTCCTCCTCACTAGGTCCAAATGTGACAACCCATCCCTTCAAAGCATTCTTGTTGCCAGTCTCTCACCGGGCTTGTTGTCACCATTCTTGTCGACATCGTAACATACAATGCAGGACAACTGGCCTCCGCTGGTCATTCATTATACATGATAACGTAGGAATGCCCGACCATGATCCGGCACTGGAGAGAAAAGGACTAGATTGGGACTATGGATTAAGGTAGCAATTTCTCTGTTCTGGACCAGAATGGGACCATGGATTAAGGAAGTTATTTCTCTGTTATATTACCCTCTAGACAAAACCAGCATTAAATCCTTTATTAGCTGGCATTTTATTAATTTAGAGAATACTTGGAGCTAATTTTTAAATCTCCTGAATTTTTTTTTCAGAAAGGAGTGAGAAACGTTCAAATTTCTGTCAATGACCAAAGTACTGAAATTTTTTTTTGTTCCACAAAGCTTTCATTACATTCTTAGCATGTACATCCATACAGTAATATTATTAAGCAGTCATATAAACTGAACAAGCAGTAATTTAAAATTAAACAAATGAAACAGATGAACAAGGCAGAGAGAAGATTTAATGCAAAAAAAAATGCAGGAAAGATGTAGGGTAAGTATAAGATATTAAAATTTTAGTAAGAAAAATTCTAGGATAAACTAATATATATGATGCCAGAAAACGAATTCTCTCAGCACATAGGTCGTTTGCCTTGCTCTCCTAAATACCTTTTCTCCTGGCAGCAGCTTTTGGGCAGAAAAAACCAACGCGTGTTTAGGTTTGTTAAGTCCTTGGGCGTGAATTCATTTAATTGGCCAGAATACTAATTTGCTCTGGCCATTGAAATGAATTAATGTTCAAACGTTACACACACCTAGCAGTAACACTCATTTACATGCGCCAAGAGCTTCTTTTGCCGAAACACTACTGATCCTGGAAGTGCTGGCAGTGGCTTTTTTTGTTGCCTCTAAATACCCCTGTCCCTATATGCCTAACATGGAGGGGCATTTAGAAGCAGAAAAAAACCTCACCAGTTGCCCCTAAAAGCAGTACTTTTAACGTTCAGTGTGCCTGAGGCTTAAGGGTAAAAAAAAAAAACCCTGCTGGGGTCCCAGTCTTCTTCAAATCAGTCTCACTAGGGTCACTATTTCTCTAGGTTTGTAGGAGACAGTCCCTGTTTTGTTGGGCATACCAACATAACTGATGAAATGCATAGGCGTCAACCCTAGGGTGTGACTCCATTTGCTCATGTATGGAAATCCCTCTTGGAAAGAGCTTTTCTTTTCACCTGCTCTTCAACTGCACAGGTGCCAACTCAACAGCCACACTTCACAGGCAGACCCAATAATGTTGCAGTTGAAAATCTGGAGAAAAGGAAAGCTTGCCTGCCGACTAAGACCGCAAAATGCAAGCACAAGCAGATCAAGCGGTCATAGGGTGGTGCCTACGCAGTGCCGATGTGCTTTTGCCCCAGAGTTTCAGAATTGGAGAAAACATTTACAAATTGTAATGTATAAAAAAAAAAAATTATAAAAAGTTACCTCTAGGGTCTGATTTTGAGCAGTATGAGGTATAAAATCATAGCAACAAAGCATGAATTCAAATCACCCTAAAATAGCTGAATTGTTTTAGAACTATAATAATTTTAAGAAAAAAAAATTAAATGACCATGCAACTGACAGTTTTTGGTACAAGCACTCTATCAAAGATACACTAGAGTGGAAAATTGCTAACATGTACAACAAAACATTATAGGAATCTGTTACCTTGGATCAGGTGCCTAAGCATTATTATTATTATTATTATTACTACGAGTTTATATAGCGCCAAAGGGTTTGCTCAGCGCTGTACAATAGGGGGGACAATACATGGCACAGTACAACAACAAACAACGTATGAGGGGTAAGAGGGCCCTACTCTTACGAGCTTACAATCTGGCTCAGATATAAGATGAGGGTATAGGAATTTTCATAATCTGCTAGCTCAGGAGAGCCATGCATGCATGCAGTTTTGGGGATTTTCTGGGTTGCAGAGCTGCATGCAAATTTTAATTTTAGTAAAAAGGGGAAAGGTCCACTTTAAATTAAGAGATGTGGCTTAGAACACCACCCATCCACCACTGTGTTTCTTTAATCATCTCCTTTTCATCAAGAAAACAAAAATGATTGCTGTGAAGAACAGTGTACTTTCTCATCATCATCCCCTTTAAACTGCATACAATCTCTAATTTCCTGTACATCAAACAGGTCACAAATTAGCAGCACAGCTAAATTCCTTGAAGCATAAAAAGCACATTCAATCTGTGTATATAAAAATTGCCATCCCATTTTATGAGGTTATCCAAATATTTAATGAAGAGACTATGAAGGGGAGGATCGCGTCAACACTGAGATCCCACATCTGCCCAAAGTACATAGTAACTTCACGCCCCCTCCCCATCCTTTCCCTGAGTTCCATTACTGAGACTTAAAACAAACCTTCCTAAACCACCACTGATTTTTCTTCAGGAACCTTCAAGTGCCTCGCACACATTTTCAGTTTTCTCCTACAGTGGCCAGATAGCCCTGTAGCCTGAAGGGCTCTTTTATGCAGTTACCATCTTTTATCTCCGAAGATGGCATTTTGGCTTGACCACTTCAATATTCCTCACCTCGCTACCAGTTGATGAAATCACTCGCCACAATGGCAAGCCAGTCGTAAGCCATGAGATGAAAGAGGGGGCAGTCCACTGGCTCAACTGTCTAGAAGAAACTGGTGCTTAGATAATATAGTGCCCAGGATTTTGGGAAGAATCTCACATCTCAATTCTAAACAGAAAGG